AGATTGTGCTGCTGCACTCCAGCTTGGGTGACAGAGCAAGACTCCATCTTAAAAAAAAAAAAGGATGGGGGATGGAGAAAAGGCCTATGCTCAACGTGGACGAATAGTTGGAAACTTGGTGAAGTGAGGTGGGAAGTGGTGAGGGCTGAATTAGGGAAGTGACAGTAGAAATCGTGAGAAAATGAAGGCAAGCAACGCTGTGGAAGTAGAATGAGACTGGAAATTGATTAGATGAGGAGGGTGAAAGAAGGGAGGACAGATGGTTTGAAATTCTGAGATTTCAGACATGTGCCATTGAGGCTATGATCATGCCATGAAATGAAATGTGGAACACAGGAGGGAGAGTGGATGTGGGGAGAAGAGGAAGACTGACGCCGGATATGAGACGTTTGATCTGATTCTGGGAATACTCATGTTATATAGTCCAGCTGAAAACTAGACAACGTAGATCTGGGGTTAAGAAGAACACATAAAGAGATTGTGTGTGTATATTTGTTTATATAGATATTTGTTTTCTCTTGTCCTATTTTGAAATCCTGGCTAACTGGAATGTCATCTAAGAAATTCCTCAGTTTCTTGAGTAAGAATGATTGTCCTTTTCCTCTTTTGTCAATTACTCTTCATTTACATCTCTGCCATGGTACCTATTTACACATGACTTTAAATGATATGAGGTCAGTTCCATTCACAGACATTCACTAAGGGCATCTTCTGTACCAGGCCAGTATTTGAAGGAAAAAAATGAGTCAGACTGTGTCTCGCCTCAAAAATTTACAAACTAAACACTGAGCTACGGCAGGCAGATTTTGTACCATAAAAAAGATACAAACAAGGTTCTGTAAAAGCTTAAATGAAGTAAATCTTTATTATGTCTGTCTTTCCCACAAAAGATCAAAAATCATTTCTCTCTCTCTCTGACACACACACACACACACACACACACACACACACACACACACACCCTACAACCAGTGTGTATCACACAGTAAATATTTTTGATGTTAATTCTTTAACTCAGTAAGTCAATCAAAATAGATTTACTTCATGTTATAGGCTGAAATATATTCCTGCAAATTTCATATGCTGAAATCCTAAAATCATCCAATTCCTAGTACCTCAGAGTATAACTACATTTGGAGATTTTTTTTTTTAATTTCACATTTGAATTGGTAGACTGAGTAAAGTATATGGCCCTCTTCAATGTGGGTGGGCATCATCCAACCAATCCAGAGCCCAAATAGAACAAAAAGGCAGAGGAAGGTTAAATTCATTCTCTCTGTCTCTCTCTCTCTCTCACTCCGACTGCTTAACCTGAGACAGTCATTAAAGAGGTGATTCAGTTAAATTAGGTGGGACCCTAATCTGAAATTTGGACAAACACACAGACACCAAGGATGTGGCACACAGAGGAAGACCAGGTGAGGACTCAGCAAGAAGGCAGCTATCTTCAAGCCAAGGAGAGAGGACTCAGAGGGACCAAACCTGCCAACATCTTGATCTTGGACTTTTGGACTCAAGAGCTGCAAGCAAATAAATTTTGATTGTGAAACTAACACAGAGACAACTACCCAGAAAATAGGTCGCCTAATTTAAAAATAGGCTATTTAATTTAGATAGCCTATACATTGTAAAAGCAAATATAACCCTCTGACTGGGTAAGGTTTACAGAGCTGCAAAGGAGAGTTACAACATTGTGTATGTTGAAACAAGGGCTTCAACAGGAAAGCCCTATCATTTTGCCACACTGTGCTGCCTTCTTATTGATCCCCTACACTGGGCTCCAAGTATTTAAGCTGTTAATTGTGTTTGTTTGTTTCCTTAATCTGACAAACAAAACCAAAATCATTCTCCCATGTACTGTAGAAAATGTGTTTGTGGATATGTGCATGTGTATACTTAAGAGTACATCCCACCAAGGTGAGATTAGCTTGAATTTAATTTAGTCTATGCCATCATAATGAAGATCAGTGCATCATTCTACTAGGCATTTTAAAACACAGGAAGAAGCTTGAAAACATCCCCTTTTGTAACGTTCTTCGGTTATTAATAGTTCTGTGCTTTGTGTCCAGTGTGATCTGATTAGATCACTAAAATGTATACTTCACGTAGATCTGAATTTGAACTTTCTTTGACAGTACATTCCCAAGAAATCTTCCTAATTTGATGATACAATGACAATTATTAGATTTTATTGCTATGACTTTTTCTTTCTTAGACAGGCCTTGCTCTATTGCCCAGGCTGGAGTACAGCAGCACAATCTCAGCTCACTGCAACCTCTGCCTCCTAGGTGCGAGTGATTCTCATGCCTCAGCCTCCCAAATGGCTGCAATTACAGGCGTGCACCACCACAGCCAGCCACTCTTTGTAGTTTAGTAGAGACGAGGTTTCACCATGTTGACCAGGTTGGTCTCAAACTCCTGACGTCAAGTGATCTGCCCACCTCAGCCTCCCAAAGTACTGGGATTACAGGTGTGAGCCACCACACCCAGCCTGCTATGATGTGTTAAGATATATATGCATAACTTTCAGATTTCTTGATTAAATAAGTAAATACAAACCTACTACTTCATTGCACAACCTATGTTATAGTCTATGCCACAGAAAGAATGTTGAACAACTTTATCTACAGTGAACAAAATATAAAGTATAACAAATTAGTTGTAAATAAAACTAAACATAAGTTATCAAATGAATGATATTAAATTACCATGCAGAATTTGTTTGACAAACTACTAGACTAGATACTTACTATGATCACTGAAAACAATGAGGTATATTCATTCATATGAGTTTCAAATCAGATGCCAAAACGTCATTAGCACGATGTTCTGGCTACACAGGACAGATGCTTATGAGCAGCAAATACCATTGTCAAAATTCTCAACTGACCTTGCAAAGTTCATTAGCTGTTATGATAAAGTATTAAAGAAAACACAAAACAAACAAATCTAGCACCACTGAATTGACTGTGGATTCCCTTTCTTAATTATAATAGTTGTGCATAAAGCAACAGATTTAATTGCCACATCATTAATTTATCTCAGCCATTAAAGCAGTATAAATAAAATCATGTTAATTAAAGCAGTTTGTTCAAATGATGATGATCCTTCCAATTAGGCTGTCAACTAATAGTAAGAACATTCCTGGGATCCGCATTTCTCCATTTCTAAATGAAGCTGGTCAGGGCCATTCCAAAGGGCTCTATGGGTTTTTCTCCGCACATAGGCACAAAGCCAAGCTGGTGAGTGGGGTCTGAAAGCCAGCCTAAGCCTAATCCTAAGCCATGGGTCTACTGGTCTCTGGGATCCCAGAGGAGGTGCCTTTGCAAACACACAAAGGAGTCCTTGTGCCCTCTCAGCCCTGAGGCTGCCACTATTTTCTTCCACTGAATGATGCTACAAATTCCACCTATTCTTAGAATCCAGTCCAACAAATATCTAAATAGAAAGTGACTCATGAATAATTTAACCATAGGATTCTTTTGAACATGATGTAAACATTAATAATCGTAACTAATTTTAAAAATTGAGTAACTTTTGAAAAAGATAAATTTTACATTCAAAATATTTTCCAAACCTTAAACTGCCAAACTTTAACTCAAGGTGGAATAGAATAAATAGGTAGAATAGAAAGGCAACTGTGGACTAAAAATATATTATCTCAATGACAAGCTAATCATCTCAAGATTGCTCAGAATTAAAGATCAAGAAGTCACCTCTGCCCTGAATTTTCTAACATTTTGCAACAAACTAAGTTTCTCAACATTTGAAACAAGTAAGGCAATACAGTAACAGATTATGAATGCTACTTTTCTTCTATCTATGCCCTTTATGGTGACAGCTTAACCATCAGAAAATTCAGAATCACAAGAATAAACTATGTGCCAATTAAATATTAAGATAGTTTTAAAATGATACTTCATTAAGAAAGCAAAGAGCAATGCTTCTTTTTTCCTTCAACTTTTAAGTTCAGGGTACATGTATAGGATGTGCAGGTTTGTTATACAGGTAAACACATACCATGGGCAAATAGAGATACTTCTTTTCAGTCATACCTTATTTCAAAACGCTTTTTTTAAACTGTTAATCAGGTTAATAATCTTTTAAAAAAAGTTTCCAACCCTTTCTTGGATAGTAATTTTTTTTGTAAGGAGAAAAAAGTGGTTATCTGAATCATCATTCTACATTTATCCAAAGCATACCTATCAGTTTAGCATTTGCTATAACCTTGGGGCAAGTAAAGAAAAAGATTGACTACTTACAACTGAGCCCTTTAGAAGCATTTTTGATTCCCTGGGAAATTCAAATTCTTGTAATATATCAGAATTGCATTAAGAGCAACAGAACAACATTCTGTTTCTTTTACTCCTCAGCCCCACTGAATTTTGCTGACAAGTTGGAACTTTGAGTTATTTTGGCTCAGAGAGCGCTTTTCAGGATGGAAGTGCATTGCTTATTATCCTTTTATGCCTCAATGCTCTCTTGGGCTTCCTAATCACAAAACATTCATTTCACTTCCATTCTCTTCATCATTAACAGATCAAACAACTTTAAATAGTTCTGTATTCTTAAGCAAAGGGAAAGTGGTCATTGTGGGCACCTGTATAAATGTTAGTTTTTAAGGCTTCATCAGATAGAACCAAAAATAAACTACAGAGTATGGACCATATCTCAGAGGTTCGATTACACTCAATCAATCACATTATATGGATTGAGTGAAATAAATGATCTGTGATAAAAATATATGTGTTCATGTGTTTTTAGCCAAAAAAATAAAATTCTTGCTTAATTAAAGCAAAAGTTCTAATGAATCAAGAGTATATTTATATGATGCTATTTTTAAAATAGTAATGATGCAGCTGTTATTTGTGTGAGTTTTTATCATCTATTGAGAATACTATAAATTATATTCTGGTATACATGTCCCTTTGGTTTTATATTGATTTTCTTAGCTAAGGATAAATAACATTATTACCTCTAGTAAGATTGTATATGGCGGTCTCTGCGCAGCCGAGCCTGCCAGTCCAGGCAGCACACTGCTCCGAGGGCCAGTGCCACCCGCCCTGCAGCCAGCACCGTGTGAGAGATCGTGCACATCCAGGCGGGCACAAACAGATCGGTGCCAAGTTTTGGGAGGTCATCAGCAATGAGCATGGGATCCACCCCACAGGCAGTTACCATGCAGACAGTGACTTGCAGCTGGAGAGAATCAACATGCACTACAATGAGTCTGCTGGTAACAAATATGTACCTTGGGTCATCCTGGTGGATCTGGAGCCTGGCACCATGGACTCCATCAGGTCTGGACCCTTTGGCCAGATCTTCAGGCCAGACAACTTCGTGTTCGGCCAGGGAAAAGCTGGGAATAACTGGGCCAAGGGCCACTACACAGAGGGAGCTGAGCTGGTCGACTCAGTCCTGGACGTAGAGAGGAAGGAGTCAGAGAGCTGTGATTGTCTCCAGGGCTTCCAGCTGACCCACTCTCTGTGGGGCAGCACAGGGTCTGGGATGGGCACTCTGCTCATCAATCAGCAAGATCCAGGAGGAGTACCCAGACCACATCATGGACACCTTCAGGGTCATGCCCCAACCCAAGGTGTCAGGCACGGTGGTGGAGCCCTACAACGCCACCCTCTCCATCCACCAGCTGGTGGAAAACACAGATGAAACCTACCCCATTGATAATGAGGCCCTGTAGGACATCTGCTTGCGCACCCTGAAGCTGACCACCTCCACCTACAGGGACCTCAACCACCTGGTGTTGGCCACTATGAGTGGGGTCACCACCTGCCTGTGCTTCCCAGGCCAGCTGAACGCAGACCTGCGCAAGCTGGCATGAGCACGGTGCCCTTCCCGCACCTGCACTTCATGCCAGCTCAGCACCCCTGACCAGCCGGGGCAGCCAGCAGTACCGCACGCTCACAGTGCCTGAGCTCACCCAGCAGATGTTCGACTCCAAGAACATGATGGCCACCTGCGACCCAGGCCATGGCCGCTACCTGACGGTAGCTGCCATCTTCCGGGCCACATGTCCATGAAGGAGGTGGATGAGCAAATGCTCAACGTGCAGAACAAGAACAGCAGCCACTTCGTGGAGTGGATCCCCAACAACGTGAAGACAGCTGTGTGTGACATTCCGCCCCACAGCCCGAAGATGTCAGCCACCTTCATCTGCAACAGCACGGCCATCCAGGAGCTGCTCAAGTGCACCTCAGAGCAGTTCACAGCCATGTTCCGGTGCAAGGCCTTCCTGTCCTGGTTCACCGGCCAGGACATGGACGAGATGGAGTTCACCGAGGCCGAGAGCAACACGAAAGACCTGGTGTCTGAGTACCAGCAGGATGCCACAACCAACAAACAAGGGGAGTTCCAGGAGGAGGAGGAGGGCGAGGACGAGGCTTAAGAACTCAAATCAATCACGCATCCTTAGTGAACATCTGCTGTCCTGAAGCATGGTCTTTCTACTTATCAACTATGGTGCTCAGTTTTGCCTCTGTTAGAAATTCACACGGTTGATGTAATAATGTAGAACTCCTCTAAAAATTACAGTATTGTCTGTGAAGGTCTCTATGCTAAAAAAAAAAGCTTGTGTATAAAAGAAAGAAAAATTGTACATGCTCATTATAAGTAACCAAAAATAAAACAATGTAGTACAAAGGAAAATATTTTTAAATACCTTAAAATCCTACATTTAGAAATTAATTTCTAAAAGTTTATTAACACCGTAGACATTTTTCCCACGTACAGACACAGAAGAAAAGGTAGAAATATGTAGAGATAATTGATTGTTTCACTCGTAAAAAGGGAAGTCAGTCAAGTTGCTAAGTAAATTTATATTAAACTTACAGCCTGGAAAATTGTCTTGAAAGATAAATATTTTAGTTTCAAGAGCAAGGCACTTAACAGACACAAGAGATTTTTCCTTTTCCAATGCTCTGGACTTCAAGGTTCAAGAAGCAAAGCCATAAAGAAGCAAGGCATAAAGTTTTCACCATAAACAGGAAGTCCAGTCCACTTTTGAGAAACTGAATCCTGCCAAGCATCATGTGACTGAGCTTGGAAGCAGATCCTTCCCCACTGGAGCCTTGAGATGACTGCAGCCCCCAACTAACACCTTAATGGTACCTTTCTAGAAGAGAGACCCTGAGCCAAAGGACTTAACAAAACTACAGCTGAGTTTCTAATCCACAGATGCTACTAGACGGTAAGTTTTGTTTAAGCCATTTGGAGTACTTTGGCAAATAGCAGCAAATAACTCATCTATTATTCAGCACATCAAAACTGAAACTGAGAAACTAGAATAATTAATATTGAATTAAAGTTTTATCTCTTGTAGAATCTTATGCATGGATTAGATTCCTGAGAATCATGTTTATTCCTTCCATTTAATAATGTTCTTTCCAATAACATCCTTATTCTTTCCATTTCATTTTAGATCATTTCATTAAACCTGTTCACCATTTTCCTGATTCTGTTTTCAGCTGTGTATATTTGTTCTTTTCATTGCTTCTAATAGGTTTTTCATCCCTATAATGTCTTTTATTCCATTTTGTTTATAAGCTCTTCCAGCATACTTCCACTTCAATCTGTTTTCTTTATGCTATTGTTTTGGAGATATTGTGTTCTCTTTTTTTTTTTTTTTTAATACAGCAAAATTGTTTATCTTAACATTCAAAAATTATTTTTTCTGTTTGGGTAATTCCCCTCATAATATGTTTTCATCTAGTTCTAATTATATTCATTTCCAACTTTTGCATTTGCATGCATACTGTGCTAGTCATTTCTAATTATTACTTTTTTAAAAAAATGGATCTATTTGTTCTAAAACTATATGAAGGAGTGATTAGAATGGGTACAGGCGATGAGCGTTCTGGGATATCATATAGCCCCTGCTTAAGGCTGAATCTTTGTGTGCTCCCAAAATGCATACACTGAAATCCTAACCACTAGTGATAGTATTAGCAGGTGAGGTCTTTGGGAGGTGATTAGGTCATGAGGATGGAGCCTTCATGAGAGCTCTTATACAAAGCACCACAAAGGGTTCTCTTTTCCATCCACCATGTTTCCATCCACAGACAGAAGACTAACATTTATGAACCAAGAAGTGAACCCTCATCACACACGGAATTTGTTGGCACCTTGATATAGGACTCTCCATCCTCTAGAACTATGAATAATACATTTCTGTTGTTTAGAAGCCACCCAGTCTATGGTATTCTGTTATAGCAGCCCAAATGTATCAGAAGATGCAGCCTCCATTATTATTTATTTTCCCCAGCAATATTCACCATCTCACTAAAACGGCTATTTTCTCCGCATTAGGGGCACATCTTCCTCAATTGTTAGCACTCAAGTAAATAGTGTGGCTTAGTGTAATAAAGTAATGAAGTCACCCATTAGCACCTCCTTCATCCATTTCACTTCCAACAAGAAGCCTAGTTCCCAGGTAATAAAAAGTGTTCTTTGGCCTCGGATCTGCCCCCCTGCTACCTGGTGTCAAACTGGGTCACTCTAGGAACTACTCTAGTTTTCCTTACATAAAAATTATTTAATTTTGTTTTCAGTATTGTAACTATTGTTTTAAGAACAATATGGAACTTCCTCAAGGTCCAAGCAAGTATATGATGGCTCACAACATAATCATCACAATATATGACCAATAAACAGAGTTCACAGTTCTTAATTTGGAATTGTGGCCATTTTTAGGTCATTTTTTTCTCTAGTTATAATTCCTTTTATTGACTTTGCTGATTTTGTAGGAAAGAAATAAAGTTAAAAATTCCTTGACTCCATTATCAATAAGTCAAATTCTATTCTTAAAATTAAAAAAAAAAAAAAAAGAAAGTAAAGCCAGATGGGCAAATAGAAGCCTTCACCAATTGCCCTCCACACCCAATACATACACAGGAACACTAAACTTAACAAGTATCACACACATGCAAAAGCACCTTCCTAAGAACCAAAAATCAGGTGAGCAATCACAGCACCTGGGACCACTGGTGCTGTGGTAACTTCGTATCACCAAAAGCAGCACTGAAGAAGGTAAAAAGACAGCCTTGAATCACTGACACCATCCTTCCCCTATCCCCCAGCAGTGGCCATATAGCATGAAGAATTTGCACAATTGGGGGAGGAAAAGTGCCTTGAGTGTGGGACTCTGCATTGAACTAGGTGCTGCCTGGTGATAGCACAAAGCAACACTAGGCTAAACTCAGCCAACACTCAAGAAGCATTTAGAAGAAGCAGTTAGACCAGCCCTAGCCAGAGGGGAATTGCTGCTCATCCTAGTGGTTGGAGTTTGAGTTTTGATAAGCCTCAGCACTGCGGCTAAAGTGTTCTGGGGTTCTAAATAAATTTAAAAGGCAGTCTAGGCCACAAGGACTGCAATTATGAGGCAAGTTCTAGTGCTATGCTGGGCTCAGAGCCAGTGGATGTCAGGGTTATGGAACCTAGTGAGATATTTGTTTTAGGCAGCCAAGAAGGCTAAAGGAGTGCTGTGCAGCCCCTCCCCCAATCCTAGGCTGCATAACTTGTGGCAACAAAAGTGGCTCTTTCCTTCTTCCTGAAGGGAGGGGAGGGAAGAGTAAAGAGGACTTTGTCTTGAATCTTGGAGACCAGCTTCACCACAGAAGGATATGGCAACAGTCAATGTTAAGCAGCCTAGCTCTTGGATAACATATCTCGACGCACCCCGGGCCACAAAGGAACCCACTGCCGTGAAGGGAAGGACCTAGGCCTGGCAGGATTCATAACCTGCTGACTAAAGAGCACTTGAGCCCTGAAGAACCAGCAGCAACGTGGACCTGTTAACGAAGAGCCTCTGGGATTTGCTGGCTTCAGGTGAGATCCAGCTCACTCCCAGGTATGGTGGTGGCTACTGTGAGACATTCCTTCCACTTGAGAAAAGCAGAGTGAAAACTTAAAGGGACATGGTCTGTCACCTCAAGTACCATCTCAGCCACAGCGAGGCAGGGCACCATGTGGGCTCCTAGGGTTCCCAGTTCCATGCTTGGCTCTTGGTTGGCATTTCTCATTTGTCCTCTGCCAGAAGGGAGCCCATTGCCCTGAATGGTGAGCTCCAGGCCTGGCAGCATTCATAACAAGCTGACTGAAGAGCACCTGGACCTTACGTGCACATTGGCGACAGTCTAGCAATACCTACCGTGAATCTGCAGTAGTGGTGACCCCGCCAAGAGGCTCCTCTGCCTATGGAAAAGAAAAAATGCTAATAAGTAAAAAAAAATATGAAAGTATAGAACTCAGTGGTGAAAGTAAGTTCACAATGAAATTCATAATACTTTAATACCATAATGAAAGTGTGTAAGTCACTTGTATCTTTAGAATAAAGTATAAAAGACAAAACTGTTAAAAATAATAATCACGGCAATAATTTGTTAAGGGTAACACAGTATAAAACCATGTAAATTGTAAACAATGAAAATTTTAAATATGGGGGTGGAGTAAAAGTATAGAATTTGTTTAAACATAATCAGTTAAGTGTTATCAGCTTAAAATAGCCTGCTATAACAAGATGATTTTTAAGGCTCATATTAACCACAAAGCAAAAACCTTAAATACACAAAAATATAAAAAATAAGTAATAATTGAGAGATCTGAGATAAAGAAAATTAAGTATCCAGAAAATTCAATCATATTTTATATGTTACAACAGCCATAAGAGAGAAATTTAGTATTTTTTATAATAGTACCCTTTTCACAAAATTGCACACAATATTTTTGTGGGTCAGATTTCTGTTGTCTTAAGAATTTAAAGAACATTTTGACCTAGAGTACATAATATCATAAAACTACATCACAACTCAATTTTTAAATACTTTTTATTAATCTTCTATAAAATGGGACATTTCTAAAATAATGGCAAGGTTTTAATTAATTAGTGGAAGGCTTTCAATATTAATATTTGTTATGATTTCCACTAAAATATTTTTAAAGGCTTAATATTTTTATTTATTCTCTTCTTATAAACTAACTTTCCCAGTTTCTATTATTCACTACTAGATTATATAATCAAGCTTGAAACTAATCATGTCAGCTTCCTGGAGTTTATTATAATTAATCTTTAAATACACTGTACCAAATGTTAGAATTGATTAATAGAGAAAGTAACATAATAAAAATGCTGAACTAAATATCATCACTAATTCCAAATCAATAATGGAAAATAATTCCAAATGACCTATGAATAGTGTGACTTGTGATTAATATCTAGTTGATGCCCAAATGACCTATGAATAGTGTCACTGTGATTAATATCTAGTTGATGCCCTGACTTTTCTTTTCATCATGCCCGTAAGATAGTAAGCAAGAAGGCAGAGACAGCCTTCCCCCAAACATCACATGTCCCCAAAACATGTGAAGTAGTTATTCATGAAGAACTAAAAG